TGATATTTGTAAGCCATACTTTAAATGTATGTGGACCAGTGGTTGATGGGACCAGTTAGCTCTACAACCGTGACCTCTCTGGTAAATATCCGCTTTCAAACAATAGACTTTGACAGATTCAGTAATGATGAAAAGGTAAATTATACACCGTGAAAAGATGAAAAAACTTTCGGACGCTAGTCCTTCGTCGGAGTAAAAAAGGAATTTTTGACAGATTCATAACAGTTTCATTGAAATGCAGCGTTCTATTTTTATCGTTTGCCGCCAAATAAAAATATTCCGCGCAAACGTTGGCATCAAAATATCAATAACTGTAGTTTATGGCTTTAAAAAGAGAGCAACAAATTGCGGTTGATTTAAGTATAGCCGGACATTCTCTATTTCTTACTGGCAAAGGAGGAACCGGCAAGTCATTCGTTGTGAAAACAATATTTAAAGAACTAACTAGGCCTTTATATACATAGGTTCGTTTTCCGCCTCGCTCTAAACGAACTTTCTGGCGTACACCCACGGAGGGGAAAACCCTTTTGATGATTCTTCCTATTTCTCTATCAGGGACTCCATTTTCTTTCCCCAGACCTTGGCAGAACATTTCATTTAACCTTGATAGTGGAACCTGGGATTCCGCTCCAGATATAGAAAAGTTTTTCAAAAGCCTGAAGGAAAAAAACATGAGATTTTAGATCCTGAAGACGAAATTAACGGTCAAATATTTTGAAAAATATACCTTACTCACCATAACATAAAGTATTGCGCTCCTTGAATATTTGATTTGTTTTCATTTAATTCCAGATTCTGATTGTCAGCACTCATCATGTTGACATTCAGACTGCGTTTCTCTAAAGTTTATTAGCACTGGTCCCATCAACCGCTGGTGCACATGTAACGATAAACTTGCCTTGTTTCAGCCCTTCTCTCTTTCTTACCATTTACTAGGGCGTGCGTTACACTAATACTGAAGAGTTCTCTACTGGCCACTAGGGCCTGGACACGAGTTAGATACCGCTGACCGGCTCAGTAGGAGCGGCCATCTTGTTTACGTTAAGATTACGTTTTAGGACAGAACTATAATACAAGACTATTCAGCACCAGTATATCTTTATTTATGTAAGTTTTCCATTTATTATATGTGTAATCGTTTACTTCACATTTATCTATACATGATTTACTTKAAGTGCTATTATTTAGCTTAGATTTTATATATTTGTATCTTAGGACTCTATCATCGTTGTAGAATAAGATACTATCAGACATCGAGAAGCATCTCTTTCTTCATGATAGAGTCATGGTTGTAGTTGAATGTTCTGTTCCTAGCTGCACCTTTAAGACACAGGATGTCACAGACGCCGTCGCCGTTGCACTACTAAATAACCATGGGCTAGCACACAGAGACACTGCCACAACGCTCCAGGCCC